GAACGGCTCATTTAAATTTACAGTGAACTGAAAGCAGAGACACCTTTTTCACGCTCCAGCTAACATCATGTCTTATTAATGCCTGCCCTCCTGTTGAAAGTGAGTAGTTCCCCTTAGGGTAAGGATGTGAGTGCCTGGTCCAAGTGCTATTGCATTCTGGAATTAAAAGCAGAGTAAAAGGTCGTTTTCTTGCATGACATACTACAGCACAGTTAGTCCTATAAAGCTTATAATGCTTGTAAAAAATCCCCCACTGTGGACCTGTCGGAAAATGAACACTGGCTTCACAACCGATTACCAAGAAATCCAGAACTCATTTCTCATTCCAGGCAAAATATGTCTGTCTTTTGTTTAGTTAGTTTTTTAAATCACGACACAGAATTTTGTGATACTGAGAAAAGAAGTCGATCACATCTAAGGGAAGACACTATTTTAGTCAACGTTAACTCAGATTAGCTTCCTAAACATTAGAAAGTAAACTTGAAAGAGATGGAGATGTAATTACTCGTTACTTTTGCATGCATTGGCAAGCTGCAGATCATTCAGAAATGCTTCTAAGGAAGATAAAGTGCAAAGGACAGTGTTTTTTTTGTTTTGTTTTTTTTTTTAAGAAAATTGCTGATAAACTTTGATTTATGTGACAGTGCATACCACTAACATCATGCATTTGCTTCTTGGTTGATGCAAATTTTAATAATTTACTATCATATTGTGCAACTGGAATAATAAAGTACTTCAAGAGGTGAAGTGAGATCTGCAGGGGGAAAAAAGTCTGGAATGTTTGCATTTTAAATTCTCAAGCATTCCAATAATAATTCCATTTCTTACCTTGAGTTTGTCATACCGGTCGCTGAGGGCCGCTACTTGGTGGTCCCGATGTCGGCCGACAAGCTTGCACAAGGCGCAGATCAACTGTTCGTCTGTTACACAGTACATGTTGACTTTCTCGTCCTCGTGCTCCAGACACATGAGCCCCCGGAGATGGGAGTCCTGCAAGGGTTCAATCAGCCGGTGGCCCGTGAAGGGTTTCTTGTTTGGGTGGGTGGCCTTGAGGCATTCCTCGCAGTACGACACCTCGCAGGTAACGCAGGTCTTTACTGCATCCTGAGGGGGGTCCTGCTCGCAGAACTGACACTGCACTCGATCCGTAGGAGACGTCATGGCTTTGCCTTCTGGGATCACCCGCTCACGACGAGTCTCGCTTGGGGAGTTGGGTCCACTTAGAGAGGCTTTCTGGTAGCGGTCGATGATGTTCTGTAGGGTCACGTTGCGTTTGAGTCCCTCTAGGCCTCTCTGGTTGAGAGTAATGACATAGCGACAAGTTGGACACTGGAAGGCGCTGATAGACTGGATAGGCTCGCTGGGGGTGCAATGGGAGACCAAGATACGATGGGCACAGTTGAAACAAAGACTGTGAGCACAGGGCAGCAGCAGTGGGTCCTCAAAAAGCTCCAGACAGATTGGGCAGGTCAGCTCAGACTCTAGTGTTTCCATTTTCAGGCACAACAAAGAGGGATTGTGAGGGAAATCCAGGGAAGTCGATCAGCTATCTATGAATGACACAAAGGAAAAATGCTCAGTTACTCAGTTATAGAAAGTTGGAAGGGGGTGGGGAGGAGAGTTAAAAACTAATTAAATAGATGTTGGAATTATTCAATCCAACTGTCCATATTTAATGAATAGAGAGGCATAGAGATCAGATTGGGTACGAATTCAAAATAAGAGAGCTTAATCACACGAGCTTCTAGATTTCACAAGCATTAACACTCTTTTATGTGGAAGCTGGTAGTCAGGGAAGATGACTCGGATATGGGTTATTTTCAGAATCAGTAAGGTGATTAAAAAATGTCAATGGCAGCACAGAGAGGTAAAAGCCAAATTAAAAAGAAAACTGTATTTTCTGAAACATGTAAAGACATGTCTGCAGTTCATTCAGGCTACAGGAGAGATCAACATTTACAGCAAAGAGCAGGAAGTTTGAACAGATACAGTTTTTAACCGCAGTCTACTATGGAAAGTGATTGATATTGTAATGTTGGCAGTCTTTTGGAAAGTGTTTAAGAAAGGCTGCTTATTTTCTCAAGAGAAAATACCCAGTGTTTCTACTGTTTCAGTGGCAGTGTTTGTTAGTCTCACTAGAATTGGTAATATGCCAAAGGCAATTTAAAATGTCTTTAAAATAGTAGCTTATGGTGACAGAATCTCCCTCACAAACACCATACAGTTGTCTCTACTGTTAATATATTTAATTAATGACTGCTTACAAAAGAACTGGTAGAAAACAAAAAGTGAATGATCTGTGAATGATTGGAGCCATGACATCATAAGACCTCTGAAAAAGGACTTGAAAATTTGCTAAAATGAGTATCAGCAAGTGGTCTGAATGGTGCCTCTCTAGACAAAATACAAATAAAACCTGAATTAAACAAGACTTTCGCACAACTATGTGTTACTTAGAATAATCAGACTTTATTAATTCAGTCCCATCTTGAGTTTTATTTGGCTTTCCTTTGCAAGATGAACTCAAGTACATGAATTGTGTAAATAGTTGTGGGACAGTTAGGATAAGCAGGTGTCTGCTACTAATAAATAACCCTTTGCGTATAAGGTGCAGATCTGATTTGCTGAACTAGAAGAATGCAGCTGCAGCTCATTTTAATTTGGCTCCAGGGGAGCCTGCATGAGTTCCCCTCTGCACTGTCATCCACTGGGGAACAGAGCAGCGAGGACTGACAGCTCAGCCAAGCAGAAGTCTGTTGGCCTGCTTGCAGAAGGCTGGGGCTCCACACCGTCACAGACACTAAGCCTTTGTTCCCTGGTCGCTCAGACACCCCCAGCTGCAAGCGGACGCACCGGACTTCACAGCGTCTCCCTGCGCGAACTTTACCTCCACTCATTAAGCGTGAAGAGGGCAAAAGCTCATTATCAAGGACAGTCGGGCCACAAGCAGCCCCTTGAAAATTGTGCGGGACGCCACAAATATCTCAGAGCAAGTTTGTGTTTTCCGTTGTTCTCGAATCTCCAGACTTTTGCTTATCTTACTGTGGCTACAACACAAGACACAGTTGTTGAGCATGTTTCTTGTGACTGGGAAGCATCTGTTGGCCTTTGTTAGCTTGTTACTTTATTCTTTACACACAGACCTGCCAATGCAACTGCCAAGAAATTCCTTTTCTGGATTAAACCTGATCTCTCCCCCACCATTGTTGACAAAAAAAAAAAAAATCTTAAACAGAAAAGCTTTCATAACAAATTTTGTTAAGTGTACTTTATAACACTGTCTCAGGAGATATGCTATATGTCTGAGACATATAGCATAATTCTAATTTAATTTCAGTGGAAATCCTTGTTTTTCTAACATTACTTTTTAAATATATATATTTTTTACCATTTTACTAATCACAGGTAACATTTTTGAGTAATAAAACTTCAAAGCAATAAAAAAATTAAAAACCGCAAAAGACACAAAAACATAGCCGACTACAATAGGTTTTGCAGGTCTTGTCAAACAGGTTCGCCTGTTGGAGCATGCAGTCTGTGATAAAAAAAACAAGGCAAATAAAGAGCAGTTTTAAATAAGCACAGTAGGAAGAGGTGGCTATTCTAATGTCATCACCAGCTATATCATAAGACGTCCCGGACTTATACAAAAGCTTGTAAAATAACACTGTGGCAAAGAGCCACTCCAAACAGCCCCAAGTATTTTCTGCATTCCTAAAAGCGCTCCCATTCATACAAAGTTTACTTTACCCACCGATGGATTTCGCCCCACTTTGCACTGCCGAGACATTTTTGCTTCAGGGAAACCTCTGACCTGAATCATGAAAATCTGTTTCTAACAAATGCAATAAACATGGACTCCGGCGTGCAGCACGCATCCAGATGGCACAAGTTTTCCAGACCCCAGTAATCCTGCTGCAGAGCTGTCATTAGGCGAAAGATTGAGCAAGAGGTAGCAAGCACAACAGGAAAAGTTGCCCGACAATTCCAGGAAAGCCAGCTCCACCTACAGCGGGAGCTCCGGCCAGAGCTTGGGAGAAGAGGAGGAGAGCGGACAGCAGTGAGTGTGGGGAGAGAAGGAGTAAAACGTCGAAAACAAACAGAGGGGACGGGATTGTTGCGGAAACCTCGTCCTCACAGGCAGGTCAGTGTCCTCGCAGCCCTGCCCATTCAGAAATTCAAAGCATCGGGATTAGTTTCAGCTTTCTTTGTGCAACTGTTCCCACTGTTTCATGCAGCACAATGCTGTGGACTCAAACTTTTCCTGGCACTTCCGTCAGGGACTCAAGGGTAAAAGTTGACAACACAAGCTGAGACGAGAGTTGGCAAGGCTCTACAGCAGGGTCGTGACTCTTTTTGCAGCCAGTGAACAAGTGATGAGAACCAAATAATAAGTCCTGTTGGAGGCAGATCCTCTCCGGAGTAATTCAAACTCCGGCATTATCGTACAGCTTGCGAAATATCTGCGCAGTCTCAAAGGAGAATGTTCAATAAGACTAGAAAATGAAGCCAGACATGACTTAACATCATCGGCAACATCCACATCTGTCACAGCTGGCCCTGATGTGGCGAGTCAGTGAGCAGCCATCTGCTTACCATGTGCGACTATTTCCGAACACACCCCTGCTGGGTTTCATTTTGATCCTCCTGTCACTCAGAGGGGTCCCCCGGGAGGCTCGCCGCTCTCAGAGACAGACAAGAAGCTGTAAATATTAAAAAAGCTCTCGCTCAAGTCCAGACACACCTGTAGGTGCTAACTTTCAGGGAGAGTAAGACATGAAGGGAATGTGACTTTGATTCCCTGGGCGCTTTCTGTGCAGCCTCCAGCGGGAAATACATTCACTCGCCCTGGAGCAGAAAGGGGAACTTACCCCATTTGTTCAGTAAAATGATGAAAGACAATGTGAACACAATAACCTTTGCTCACATTCTAACTTTAAAGCACATGCTAATCAGTTTTCCATGAAAANCATTTCTGAAGTTAATTTTGAACTGTCTTAGTTTTTTTTTTTTTTTAGTTTGATGACTGTCCATTTCTGTGGGTTCCTAAATTGTCCCTTACAGGATTTTTTTTTTTTTTTTTTCAATAGAGAAGCTTTTATCCATTGTATCCTTCCAGAGGTCTGTCTTTAGTGGTTTTGCTTTTCAGCTAAAGATATTGTGACCCTTTCTTTGACGAGGAAAATCAGACTCCAATCCCTGAAGAACTATTCTTGGGACAAGTCCTATATCAAAATATCTCATACCAGATTTAAAATAATGTCATCCAAAAGTATGTGGAGCGTTGCACATAGCTAAAAAAAACCTGACCGTGACTGGCGCCCCACTGACGTCAGCCCTGTTGTTGCTGTGTGCCCAAATGTTTGAATTTATTTTGAGGCACGATAAGAAAAAAGTTTTCCAGCTGAATTCCCTCCATATTTTAGAGCTGGCTGTGGTCTGCTGTGTCCTGCATGTGGAATGCCAGTGATTCCTGAGCTAGGGTAGAAGTGGAAACAAAGGTAGACTGTGACCTAATAAGCAAAACATTTTGCATAACTTTTACATTAAATATATAAAATAAACTGTTTTTTTTTTGTTTTTTTTACATACAGCTGTGAAAGAAACAAGAAAATCAAGATCAGCGTTAGGTGGAATAACCCTAATTTGTAATCAAGGCTTTCATGCATCTCAGAATGCGCTCTACCGGACTTCCTCAATACTTTTGGGTGCAGATAATCACTAACCATTAGGCAGAATAATGTGTGTTTGCATTGAAATTCAAGAGAAGCTGACATACACGCAGAGGAAGAAATGGTTTCCAGAACTTTAACATTTAATTTCCTGTAGTAGTCGACGTCACATTGTGTAAATATTATTACGCCTCCATCAAATTGTTTTTTTCAATGTGATAATTGACGGCGTTATTACGCAATGCACAAGGATATTTACTGCTCTACCTTTTAAAATATGTTAATTCAGACTGGTGTTCCTGTCAATAAAAGTTCAATATTTGAAAGTATAATTTTACTATTTGGAAAATGAGAACAAAATTTGAGTGAAAGTCATTTCTACAATGCTCCATATAATTCAACTCAACATGGTTTATTTATGAGGCCCCAATTCGCAGCAAATGTCATTTCAAAGTACTTTACAAGATAAACAGTTTGAATTCGCATACAGTGATATAGAAGGACACAATGGCTTCTGTTTACTGCAATCATTGCACAACCACATAAATTAAAAACGGAATTTACTGTGAATAAGTGCAGCACTGTCCCACTATCACCAATAACATCTTTTAAAGTCTTAACATTATCCCCTATTGTTTGCACGGTTTTAGATTAGCATCTTCCCATGGTTTAAACTGAGTCGATTTAATTTCACTTCAAAGTTTCACTCTTTTGCCTGTTTACATATAAGCTTCGGGATTGACTGGAAAAGTCGTACTCCTTAATGCAGCAGTCGCTCTCTTTGATCATTCGAAGTCAAATATTGACACAAAAATGTTGCAATTATGGATCTGATCTCAGCACATAATGATCCAAATAACTCAGCAGCACACGTGTCTGTGCAATGCCACACAATTTTCTTTATGTGGGAGATTCGGAGACATTTTGAAGCACTTTGATCAAGAGAAAAACTCCATCAGAGCTATTCACAAGCTCAGCTCAGAGCCACCTGGGTCCTGGGCTGCATGCTATAAGAAAAGCCTATTTTCCACAGCGGTAGGAATTGCCATTTCCTCCTTCTCTTCCGACCTCAAACAGCGGAAGTGGCTGCATGTAATGTGAAGTCCATAGGACGCAGGGATAAATAAAAAAAGAATAACATCAAAAATTACACCCAGCAAGTAAATACTTAACTCTGCGAGAAGATTAAATGGAAAGCCTTTATATTCCTCTTTATCCGTAACGTCATTAATCATTGAGACGATGTTATTAAGCCACATTAGTGCTCACATTAGTTACTAGATGCAATAATGAAAACACAACAGGCTCATAAAACTGAGCACTATACCTCATACATTAACAGCTGCCAAGGTCACATTAGCATGTCTCATTAGTCAATGCCTTAGACCCGTGTTAGCTGTTTCAGGGAATACATCACTTTATCTTCACAGATACTTTTCATCCCTCAGGAAGATCACGTTCAGATTCAAGGAAGATCAATAAAACAAATCCGTCCCGATTGTTTGATTAAAGAAATGACGCTGATCACCTGGTCCGCCTCCTGGTATGACTGATCATTCCCCGCACAGAGAAGGCGGCCAGGAGACTTCTGCATGATGACAGCATGATCAGACAAAGGAGAGAAGTTAACACCAATCCTCTGAGCTAAAAAAAAAAAACAAAAAACATCCCAACAGACCGCTTGCATCCAAATTCCGCTGTGACCGGCAAGCGTAGCAACCGGGAAAAATGTGGTATGGATTGATTTTATGATAAATAAAAACATCTGTTTGTGACTCATGCATGAACATTGTGAGTGTCGGTGAAGAAAGTGGACATTGTTTTCATGCAGCCGTTCATTTTAAGAAGAAAAAGGGCTGTTTTTTTGTTTGTTTTGTTTTTCAGAAGAGAATAGTTTCCTTCATAAAAACTTTGACTATAGATCACGTGATGACCTGAAAACTTCCCAAATCACGGCGCCAGGAATGGGTATGACAGCTGCTATTAATTAAGTTTATCATTCTGTTACTGAAAGGTAGCCAGGCTAGTTTATCAATAATCACATTTTATGCTGTTGATATTTGACTATCCTCTAGGAAAACAACTGAGTTATAGTATTTAGTATTTTGCTGTGGACGATGCCACTAATACTACAGCGACAATGCTGGTATACCATCATGGAGGTTCATCCTGCATCTATTCTTTTGTGTCCAGGCTTTTCAACACAAACCTGTTGTCAGCATGACTGTTTAAAACATTTTTAGATGATTTTTAAAAGCAATATGTTGATCCTGCATGAATGTTCCTTCAGCTGACATTTTAAGGCTGAATAAGAAGCTAGTACAACCATCATGATTTTGGTGATACTTAATTTATAGCTAGGCATGAGAAAATAATGGTCGCATGTCATAAAATACGGGTTTTAAAGGCTAATTTTCTAAATCATAATGAAACTTATATTGATAAGGTTTAATTAAACTGAGATAACGCAATCTTTTACTGATAATCTTGAGGTAAAGGGAAAAAAAAATTAAAATGACAAAATAAACTTTTTAAGGTGTGTCATCTGCTGGCTTCCATACTGAAACCGTTGATTACATTTTTGTTGTCTTTTACTAAAGGCCGCTTTAAATGAGATCATAAAATAAACCCATATAACTCATCAAGCTAAAATAAATCACTAATAACAGTGCAATTTTTGCGTGAACGGCTCATTTAAATTTACAGTGAACTGAAAGCAGAGACACCTTTTTCACGCTCCAGCTAACATCATGTCTTATTAATGCCTGCCCTCCTGTTGAAAGTGAGTAGTTCCCCTTAGGGTAAGGATGTGAGTGCCTGGTCCAAGTGCTATTGCATTCTGGAATTAAAAGCAGAGTAAAAGGTCGTTTTCTTGCATGACATACTACAGCACAGTTAGTCCTATAAAGCTTATAATGCTTGTAAAAAATCCCCCACTGTGGACCTGTCGGAAAATGAACACTGGCTTCACAACCGATTACCAAGAAATCCAGAACTCATTTCTCATTCCAGGCAAAATATGTCTGTCTTTTGTTTAGTTAGTTTTTTAAATCACGACACAGAATTTTGTGATACTGAGAAAAGAAGTCGATCACATCTAAGGGAAGACACTATTTTAGTCAACGTTAACTCAGATTAGCTTCCTAAACATTAGAAAGTAAACTTGAAAGAGATGGAGATGTAATTACTCGTTACTTTTGCATGCATTGGCAAGCTGCAGATCATTCAGAAATGCTTCTAAGGAAGATAAAGTGCAAAGGACAGTGTTTTTTTTGTTTTGTTTTTTTTTTTAAGAAAATTGCTGATAAACTTTGATTTATGTGACAGTGCATACCACTAACATCATGCATTTGCTTCTTGGTTGATGCAAATTTTAATAATTTACTATCATATTGTGCAACTGGAATAATAAAGTACTTCAAGAGGTGAAGTGAGATCTGCAGGGGGAAAAAAGTCTGGAATGTTTGCATTTTAAATTCTCAAGCATTCCAATAATAATTCCATTTCTTACCTTGAGTTTGTCATACCGGTCGCTGAGGGCCGCTACTTGGTGGTCCCGATGTCGGCCGACAAGCTTGCACAAGGCGCAGATCAACTGTTCGTCTGTTACACAGTACATGTTGACTTTCTCGTCCTCGTGCTCCAGACACATGAGCCCCCGGAGATGGGAGTCCTGCAAGGGTTCAATCAGCCGGTGGCCCGTGAAGGGTTTCTTGTTTGGGTGGGTGGCCTTGAGGCATTCCTCGCAGTACGACACCTCGCAGGTAACGCAGGTCTTTACTGCATCCTGAGGGGGGTCCTGCTCGCAGAACTGACACTGCACTCGATCCGTAGGAGACGTCATGGCTTTGCCTTCTGGGATCACCCGCTCACGACGAGTCTCGCTTGGGGAGTTGGGTCCACTTAGAGAGGCTTTCTGGTAGCGGTCGATGATGTTCTGTAGGGTCACGTTGCGTTTGAGTCCCTCTAGGCCTCTCTGGTTGAGAGTAATGACATAGCGACAAGTTGGACACTGGAAGGCGCTGATAGACTGGATAGGCTCGCTGGGGGTGCAATGGGAGACCAAGATACGATGGGCACAGTTGAAACAAAGACTGTGAGCACAGGGCAGCAGCAGTGGGTCCTCAAAAAGCTCCAGACAGATTGGGCAGGTCAGCTCAGACTCTAGTGTTTCCATTTTCAGGCACAACAAAGAGGGATTGTGAGGGAAATCCAGGGAAGTCGATCAGCTATCTATGAATGACACAAAGGAAAAATGCTCAGTTACTCAGTTATAGAAAGTTGGAAGGGGGTGGGGAGGAGAGTTAAAAACTAATTAAATAGATGTTGGAATTATTCAATCCAACTGTCCATATTTAATGAATAGAGAGGCATAGAGATCAGATTGGGTACGAATTCAAAATAAGAGAGCTTAATCACACGAGCTTCTAGATTTCACAAGCATTAACACTCTTTTATGTGGAAGCTGGTAGTCAGGGAAGATGACTCGGATATGGGTTATTTTCAGAATCAGTAAGGTGATTAAAAAATGTCAATGGCAGCACAGAGAGGTAAAAGCCAAATTAAAAAGAAAACTGTATTTTCTGAAACATGTAAAGACATGTCTGCAGTTCATTCAGGCTACAGGAGAGATCAACATTTACAGCAAAGAGCAGGAAGTTTGAACAGATACAGTTTTTAACCGCAGTCTACTATGGAAAGTGATTGATATTGTAATGTTGGCAGTCTTTTGGAAAGTGTTTAAGAAAGGCTGCTTATTTTCTCAAGAGAAAATACCCAGTGTTTCTACTGTTTCAGTGGCAGTGTTTGTTAGTCTCACTAGAATTGGTAATATGCCAAAGGCAATTTAAAATGTCTTTAAAATAGTAGCTTATGGTGACAGAATCTCCCTCACAAACACCATACAGTTGTCTCTACTGTTAATATATTTAATTAATGACTGCTTACAAAAGAACTGGTAGAAAACAAAAAGTGAATGATCTGTGAATGATTGGAGCCATGACATCATAAGACCTCTGAAAAAGGACTTGAAAATTTGCTAAAATGAGTATCAGCAAGTGGTCTGAATGGTGCCTCTCTAGACAAAATACAAATAAAACCTGAATTAAACAAGACTTTCGCACAACTATGTGTTACTTAGAATAATCAGACTTTATTAATTCAGTCCCATCTTGAGTTTTATTTGGCTTTCCTTTGCAAGATGAACTCAAGTACATGAATTGTGTAAATAGTTGTGGGACAGTTAGGATAAGCAGGTGTCTGCTACTAATAAATAACCCTTTGCGTATAAGGTGCAGATCTGATTTGCTGAACTAGAAGAATGCAGCTGCAGCTCATTTTAATTTGGCTCCAGGGGAGCCTGCATGAGTTCCCCTCTGCACTGTCATCCACTGGGGAACAGAGCAGCGAGGACTGACAGCTCAGCCAAGCAGAAGTCTGTTGGCCTGCTTGCAGAAGGCTGGGGCTCCACACCGTCACAGACACTAAGCCTTTGTTCCCTGGTCGCTCAGACACCCCCAGCTGCAAGCGGACGCACCGGACTTCACAGCGTCTCCCTGCGCGAACTTTACCTCCACTCATTAAGCGTGAAGAGGGCAAAAGCTCATTATCAAGGACAGTCGGGCCACAAGCAGCCCCTTGAAAATTGTGCGGGACGCCACAAATATCTCAGAGCAAGTTTGTGTTTTCCGTTGTTCTCGAATCTCCAGACTTTTGCTTATCTTACTGTGGCTACAACACAAGACACAGTTGTTGAGCATGTTTCTTGTGACTGGGAAGCATCTGTTGGCCTTTGTTAGCTTGTTACTTTATTCTTTACACACAGACCTGCCAATGCAACTGCCAAGAAATTCCTTTTCTGGATTAAACCTGATCTCTCCCCCACCATTGTTGACAAAAAAAAAAAAAAATCTTAAACAGAAAAGCTTTAATACCAAATTTTTTTAAGTGTACTTTATAACACTGTCTCAGGAGATATGCTATATGTCTGAGACATATAGCATAATTCTAATTTAATTTCAGTGGAAATCCTTGTTTTTCTAACATTACTTTTTAAATATATATATTTTTTACCATTTTACTAATCACAGGTAACATTTTTGAGTAATAAAACTTCAAAGCAATAAAAAAATTAAAAACCGCAAAAGACACAAAAACATAGCCGACTACAATAGGTTTTGCAGGTCTTGTCAAACAGGTTCGCCTGTTGGAGCATGCAGTCTGTGATAAAAAAAACAAGGCAAATAAAGAGCAGTTTTAAATAAGCACAGTAGGAAGAGGTGGCTATTCTAATGTCATCACCAGCTATATCATAAGACGTCCCGGACTTATACAAAAGCTTGTAAAATAACACTGTGGCAAAGAGCCACTCCAAACAGCCCCAAGTATTTTCTGCATTCCTAAAAGCGCTCCCATTCATACAAAGTTTACTTTACCCACCGATGGATTTCGCCCCACTTTGCACTGCCGAGACATTTTTGCTTCAGGGAAACCTCTGACCTGAATCATGAAAATCTGTTTCTAACAAATGCAATAAACATGGACTCCGGCGTGCAGCACGCATCCAGATGGCACAAGTTTTCCAGACCCCAGTAATCCTGCTGCAGAGCTGTCATTAGGCGAAAGATTGAGCAAGAGGTAGCAAGCACAACAGGAAAAGTTGCCCGACAATTCCAGGAAAGCCAGCTCCACCTACAGCGGGAGCTCCGGCCAGAGCTTGGGAGAAGAGGAGGAGAGCGGACAGCAGTGAGTGTGGGGAGAGAAGGAGTAAAACGTCGAAAACAAACAGAGGGGACGGGATTGTTGCGGAAACCTCGTCCTCACAGGCAGGTCAGTGTCCTCGCAGCCCTGCCCATTCAGAAATTCAAAGCATCGGGATTAGTTTCAGCTTTCTTTGTGCAACTGTTCCCACTGTTTCATGCAGCACAATGCTGTGGACTCAAACTTTTCCTGGCACTTCCGTCAGGGACTCAAGGGTAAAAGTTGACAACACAAGCTGAGACGAGAGTTGGCAAGGCTCTACAGCAGGGTCGTGACTCTTTTTGCAGCCAGTGAACAAGTGATGAGAACCAAATAATAAGTCCTGTTGGAGGCAGATCCTCTCCGGAGTAATTCAAACTCCGGCATTATCGTACAGCTTGCGAAATATCTGCGCAGTCTCAAAGGAGAATGTTCAATAAGACTAGAAAATGAAGCCAGACATGACTTAACATCATCGGCAACATCCACATCTGTCACAGCTGGCCCTGATGTGGCGAGTCAGTGAGCAGCCATCTGCTTACCATGTGCGACTATTTCCGAACACACCCCTGCTGGGTTTCATTTTGATCCTCCTGTCACTCAGAGGGGTCCCCCGGGAGGCTCGCCGCTCTCAGAGACAGACAAGAAGCTGTAAATATTAAAAAAGCTCTCGCTCAAGTCCAGACACACCTGTAGGTGCTAACTTTCAGGGAGAGTAAGACATGAAGGGAATGTGACTTTGATTCCCTGGGCGCTTTCTGTGCAGCCTCCAGCGGGAAATACATTCACTCGCCCTGGAGCAGAAAGGGGAACTTACCCCATTTGTTCAGTAAAATGATGAAAGACAATGTGAACACAATAACCTTTGCTCACATTCTAACTTTAAAGCACATGCTAATCAGTTTTCCATGAAAAAAATGGGAATTTGATTGACATACCAACACATATTCACTTCATATTAAACTATCTGTGTGCAATTTAATCTAAAATAAAGCCAGCTGTTCCGTGAATCACTTACGAGTTTGTTAGAGCTCATTAATGTACAAAAGCATCATGAAGACAAAGGAGCATGTCTGACAGCTCAGGAGTGGCATCAGGGTGCAGATTAAAACTATGTCACAAGCTTTGATATCATGGCACCACTGCACACCTGCCAGTGGCATAAAGAAAGGCATTATTGAGAGAGATCCTTAAGTCCAATTTGCAGTCTGCATGGCACACACATAAGGGACACATTAAACATGTTGTAAAATGTGTTCTATTCACAATTGTCACTCCCAAAACCCTTACATGGAAGTCAAAGGGTCCACGAGGATACCCATGTTCACCTGACAGTTAAGGGGTTTTAAGAACTACAGTGAAAGAGTTTAGAACTAAATTATGCATGTTTAATGGATAACACTCTGCATCTATATGAACATACTCCACTGTAAAACATGGTGTTGGCAACATCCGGGTGTGGGACCTTTATTTTTCAGGGACAGAAAAGCTGGTCATAGTTGATGGAAGATCATGTTGCTGAAGCGGTATGCCTATAGGAGCAATGTCCAAAAGGTTGAGCTAGAGCTTCTTATTTTAATGTGAAAAAGTTCACAGAGGGGAAAAAAAAAAATCAGACTTTTTTCAGGAAAGCTTGGTCTAAAACATTGGAATTCAGCCCCAAACGATGAACCAAGGTACTGAAATGACATGTGGAGTTACATTTTGATTAGGAAGTAATGGGTCCTTTATAGATGAAACAATTAAAATGTCTTTGATATGAGAGCAATTTCCTGCTCAAACGCTCCTTAATCCTCTTGGTTATGGTCTTTTATCACCCTTAATGATAGTCCTGATCCATGTAGGCTATTCAGACTCTGAAAGATTGTTATTGCTCTCTGTCTTCTTCCCCGGGCTGACACCTAACATATTTATCTGTAATCCTGTCCTGGTAGCGTGGCTGTGACCAATGAAGGGGGCCAGGGCCGGAGGAGCAGCAGAAGCAGCCGGCTCTGCTCGGTTCTGCTCAGCTCAGCAGCGGCCCACTCAGGCCTAATGTGATTTACAGCTGCGGTGGCACCAGCCAGCTGATTAGACTGACTAATCTACCTGATCTGCAGCTGCACACATTACCCAGATCATCGTTAATGGAGCCTGTACGGCCGAGACACAGGCTGTAGTTTAAATGATTAAAGAGCGCAACCTAATTACTAACCTTAGCATCTCTGCGACTGGAGTTTAACCTCATCTGTACATGTTGGCACGGAGAAGAATAACGGTGTTCCGGGCTAATAATAAGCTTCAGGTGAAAACCGTGGCGCTAAATGTACCGTTTCTGCCATTTCACAAGTCTGGTTGTGCTAACAAGTTCGTTTGGTTTCCTGTCTTACAGTCTGAGCAACGCAGGTCATCCTGGTCGGCAGCAACTTCTCATTTCCTCTACGAGGCTTGGCAGGTGCCATCAGCGGGAAAACACCCTATCCTTTCCATGACCACAGGAACTTCAAGGAATGCGACTTTCCAAGCATGCAGCTGCAACCCGCCTCCTCCAAGTTCGCACATGGTTAAAACTACTCTGTTACCCGTTGAGTTAAAACGTCAATGTACTCGTTTAAGTTTTGACTTTTTAAGTTTGGACAAGTCGTTTAGGATTGACGATTTCCAAGTGGAGAAAACACGCAAATGGCGACATCTTGTGGTTGTTTTGCAAAACTGCATACAAGAAAGTATTCACACTGTCACGTGCTTAGCAATACATTAACAAAGATTGGATCAAAATGTGAGAAAATATACCCGCTTTAACGACGGTGACTTTCAAATAACTACTTCTTGGAAAATTTAAAAACTTTTCTCAGAAGTAAGAATATCTCGTCCATCTCTTTGAAAGCTTTAGTTGTTCTTGCTCTGGCCTAACTCTGTCTTTTGAACATATAACACAGCCGTTATAAGATTAAACGTTGTAAAAGATAATTCTGGTTAAAAAAGGGGACAAAAAAGACTACTTTTGTTTGTGCCAATTTTAAAAACTGAACCTTGGGAGGATTTCTGATTTTCTCCAAGCATTTCACCGTTTTGAGATCGTCCCATTTTCACAATAAATACAGTTTTGCTTCTTTAGAATAATCCAGATTAGGTCTCACAGACTGAAGGTGATGGACTGGAGGTAATGGCTAGTCCAACGCGGGCAAAAACCAAAATAGATGTTTGGCCTCCAATCATGTTGGTTTTTTCCAGATGCTATTTTGTCAACATTTGAATATTCATCTAAGTTGCACTTTGTTGGAATACATTTACCTAGAAAGTAATTAGTTGCTTTAAACTTTATCTCCAGTGTAAATAACTTCCTAATTCAAACATGACAATGCGTTTTAAAGTTTTTTGTTTTGTTTTGTTTGTTTTTTTTTTGTTTGTTTGTTTTTTTAAATAGCTTTTGTGTTTAATGCTAAGGTGGTGTTTTTGACACTGGAGTTGTCTTGATTCCACTCTGGTTTCAGCCCCTCCTACACTAGCTCCTCCTTTAGCCTCCAGAACCAACTCCTCTGGATTTGTACTAAACAAAAACACTAAGAGAGTTATAGGGTAATCTGTTGTACTGTAGGTAAGATATTGACTGTTTATAAAGACTACTAAAACAATTCTTAACAGTCCCTTCAAGCACTTCATTGACTCCATAAACGCTATAAAGATCTCCACATGTGTTGCCATGGTGACAGCTTGTTGTCTTAGTCACAGTAGTGATCAGAAGCAGTGTGCTCATTTGGAAAGGTGCCTTGCATTTCTTTTTAAAACAACCAGTTATTAATTAACAGGAGCCACAAGAACATAAATTTTCCTCCTCCACAGTGAAGTGGACTGTGACATCTGATAATGATAAATAAAAAAAAAAAGGATCTGTTGACAAAATGGCAATAACCATGCTTTTGAAGCCACACACTCAAAAATAATGCATCAAACTAAAATAAATGTGCCAAAGATTAATTCATTCAATTTCCAGAAAACCTGCAGTCGAGAATGTGTTTGAAAATGTCTCAAAGCTGTTGCAAATGACTGTTTTTACACAGGAAGTCTGCTGTAGCCTCAACCCACTCATTTTTGTGCCGTTTAATTCCAGAAATTCCCTTCAGACCTTGCTTAGTCATCACACCTCTCATGCAATCCGGTTCAAAACCTTAGGAAAAATAACATACCCCGACAACTTTTGCACCTAAAAAGATCCCTGCCTGGAGCTTTGGAAACACATTATGACTCATGTTTTAGCAGGGAAAAAAAAAACAAAAAAAAAACACAAAGGCACAGTAACATTACACACTGGCTGTGTTCTGAGTGACCTCCTGACTTACCTGCCTCATGGTTCCAGTTGTAAAGAAGCAAGGGAAAGTACAGAGCCACCTCCACAGTCATTCACTGCTGATATTTAGAGTCTCTGCGAAGCTGATCCACTGCGGCGGTCTGAACTTAAAGCGTAGTGACTCGCCTCTCAGACTCTCTGTGAGTTTCTGAGCTCTTAACCCTCTCCTCTGAGCCCGCGGGAGGATCAAAACTTGCCACCTTTTTTATCTACTCTGACTGAGAACCATCCCATCTAGATGCAGTGGGCTGCAGGATATTGGAGAAGCCAATAGTGAGAAAGGGGGGCAGGACTTTTGCTTCTCCGCACTATAACTTGAGGCTATCAGACGTAACTTGGAGCAGAGGTTTTCCAAACTCGCATAGATGCCTCCAGCTGAACACCAGAAACAAAATTAAACTGTTGGATACCGTTACCATCATCCTTAACCTCAATCAAATTTAGTTGGAAGCATCGGAGCTGGACATTTGCACCATGCTCACAGCGAGAATAACTGAAGTCAAACAATGTACTTTAACACAGATGCTAGCTGTCATCAGCCATATTTCTCAGATTAAACACAGGAATGCGCTGAGATTTGTGACTGCAGACTTAAAAAGTGTTGAAAGTTTTCTCTCACATTGTTGGCGTCTGCTCACAATTCCTCAGTTGCTTAGAAAATAACTAACATGTGGAAAGACTGACCCGGTTGGCACCCAAGCAGTGCGAGAGAGCGAGATCGCAGAAGGTTCTCAGCTGAAAGTTTAGACGCCGTTACCCGAATCAACCTTGTCACCAACATTGGGTATGAGGGTTTTTTTTTTTTTTTTTTTTTAGAATTGGATCACTGTGCAAGATGCATGTTTTGGGCTGTGGTTTCACCGGCGTAAAACCACAGTGCAAAACGGCATAGTTTCACTTGGATTACAAAGCAGCCACATTCCCATGCCCAGGAGTCCTCATGTTTCAGTTCACCCTGCTGCATTCAGAATGGTGTGAAATTAAATAAGAGAAGTCAAACCATTTTAGGGACTTAATAGTCAATTTTCCCTTGAAAAGTAACACATAGCTATTTTTTTTTTCAGGACACTCAGCTTAAATTCAGCCACCATAATATGAAATTTTGAATTTTACATTTTGCTGCCTAGAAAATCCATAAATTAAAACAATTCTCAGTTGGTTAGACGGATCAAAAAAAATTACACCGCCACACTAAACTTTTGACATAAAGCAGGAAAGACTTGCGCTTTTGCACTGTTTGAAATATTTTGACTCTCAGCCAATATGAAGAGTCTAATCAGACATGGAAGCATTTTTTTTTTCAGTGTTGTTGCGGCCCCGGTTTCCTGCTCTTTGCTGATAGGAGGGTCACCCTGTGTGGTCCTCTGCTGCTGAAGCCATTCTGCTTAAGGGTTTGACATACTGTGCCAGAGATGCCACTCTGCATGTCGTGGTTGTAACCAGTGGTCATTTCAGCTGCTGCTGCCTGTTCTGTTATCGCAAACCAGTCTTTCTATGATTCTCTGACCTCTGATGCCTGCAACCTGTTTTTCATCTGCGGAAATGTCACTTTTTATGTGAAAATTTCAGTAGATCAGCAGTTTCTAGAAAATATTCAGAAGCCTCTCTGACACCAACAACCATGCCACATTCAAAATCACTTAAATCCCATGTCTTTCACATTCTGATGCTTTGTTTAAAGTTTAGCAAGTCGTGTTCGCTATGCCTAGAGGCCTGAATGCTTAAATGCATTGAGCTGCTGCCATCTGATTGGGTGATTCACTGTTTAACAAACAATTAAAGAGGTGTATCTAATGAAGTACCCCTTGAGTGAATGGATATGAACAGGTGCAGGAGGCCACTGAGTGCCACTAGACTGCTTGTTCATAGTCAACCTGCTGTTAAAAAAAATATTTGCATCCAAAATGCAAACTATTCACAGAAAACTGTGAAGCAGATTCAATGCAGCAGACCAATAGGCTGTCGAAGCTTAAACAGAAACTCTTACTCTTTCATCTGGACTTTTTATGCATCCTTCTCCAAAGATACAAAGTGTGTCTTACCTCACAGCCTGTTAGTCACTCAACCAGACAGTCCAGTCAGGGTGACTCAAAGATACACAGAGAAACCAAGATGAGAGTTTTCTAAAAACTTGAGACTTTGCTCAGAAGACTCCCTCTACTTTTTTAACTATCTGTCTGGGTGCTGCCGCTTCATCTGTGTTCCTCCTGTCTCTGAAAGTCTTCTCACACAAGCCTCTTTTTTTTTTTTTTTTTCTAATTCTCTCCAAAGGAAGCCGAAACTGCTCCAAATGGTTCAACCAGGCACCGACTTCTCAGGCTTTTCCCTCTTTGTGTTATTTTGTTGGCTGGGATCATTAACTTGGTCCCATGAGAACACGAGGAGGTAAATATCCACCCCCTCCTTCCTGTGGAAGCTGTCAATCACTTGCGATGATGAGGAGGTGAGGGGCTGCTCTTAGCCTCTAAGGAAACACTCCTGATTGGTCACCGGGGAGCAGGGGTGCCCAGCATGACAAATGGGAGCTCTAAGATGGATAGGATTGCTCCGTTAGGGTTACATGCACAGCCATAATAGACTTTTACACAACTCACTCATTTGCATGTCATTTAGAATAAAGCTGCAGACTTGTCAGACTTGACAGCAAATGTCTCTGCATCTGGATTTGAGGGGGGAAAAATGTGCTTCGGTTAATACGTTGGCAGTTGGGTAAATGCTAGGGTCAAACTGAATAATGTCAAGATCTTTTAAATGACACTTTGGTACAGTCTGGACACTCAGCGGGGAGGGTGGTGGGGGGTGGGGGGTCTACGACGGATGCATTAAGCTGCCGTTGCTATGGCAGTTTGGCAGGAGCAGGGATGCATCCTGCCTCTCGAGCCAAATGCCATTCTAATCTTTTCACTGGCCAACCCTCAGCTCTCTCTTCACAGATTGTTTGTTTCTTCGTCAAGCCTACCACTGTCTGTTAGTTTCCTCTTCCTCCCAACATCCAATGCCAATTTGAAGTCAACAGCATTTTGTAAGGAAGTGAAATGTGTAGAGACCCTGTGACTGAGACAATACCTGAACGAGGTCACTCCCCTTCACAGGACCGAGACTAAACGCTCTAACTGACAAATGACGAGAAACAACAGACACATTAAGCACGGCTGTGAGTCTGATGTCTGTGCTTGACTCATTCTGAACACTAATAGATTTGTAAACAGCGCTCAGCAAATCCATTTCCAATTCAAAACACACAGAAAGCGCTAAACTAATTAAAGTTTGTGTGCTGCAGTTCAAACAACTGAAACATCCACCAGATAAAATACGCGTAGAGAAATATTAAGCTTATTTCTGTCAAGATGATTATGACATACAACTAAGTAAAAACCAAAAAATTCAGTTTTTCAGAAAATTTGAATATTCCATAAGATGAACATAATTACTTCACACGTCCATGTATCACACTGTAATTGCTCCTATTACAGGAACTACTGCATCAATGCGGAGTGGATCACCCTGTGGTTCTGATGAGCTGTTAAAAAACAAGTTTGTTTTGATAATGTCTTTTAGCATGCCTCCAATGTTGTTCAAAGTCTTTTCAAAGCTCTATACCACATACAACCATCAGTAGTTGACAGAAATGCTGCACAAAGTATAAAATGAACTCAATATGAAAACAGCCCCGCCCTCCCAGACCCCAATAAAATCTGAAATAATTATAAGTTCTCTTATTAAAGGGCCTGCAACACATCTATGAATTCATTCTTTTGCAACAAAATGACAGAAAATCATGGCTATTTACTTTGATTTGAAAGACAAGCAGACATGTGAAGCCAGTGAAAACTGGTTTGCCCTCTTTGGTCATTCCAGAGGTCACACCCTTCCCTGAACTGTAAAAAAACATCAAATAAAAAAAAAACAAAACAAAACAAAAAAACAGTCTGTTTCTGTTTTTATCTTTCCACAAAAGAAAATCTGTCTGGGTTGTGGTTTTAATCCGTCCCCACCTCTCCCGCTGGAAACTGAGGCTGTACTTTGCTCTGGTTTGACACACAAGGTTTCTCTTGCTTTCAAGAAAAGAGATCTTTATTTTTTGGTGTTATTTTTAAGTGACTTACTGTGGTATGAAAATATATGAGTCCTGACAGAACTTTTAAGAAGTAAGTGCCTTTAGCTGTCACTGTTAAGTTTTTCACATCCTCAAACATTTTAAAATAAGCAATTAATAGTCTGTGTTAATACAATATGCAGTTTTGAAATTATACCGTGTAGCTAATCGGGAAACTATAACAAAAAGTAATGCCAAAGACCCACTGTTAAGTCATAAAGCAAACTTTATAAGCATTTTTATCCAATTTCACTCGCCCCAAGCAGGCCTGATTACAGCCAGGCCTGTAGAATTAAGAAATATGGCCAGCCTACAAAAGACGTTCCATTGATGACTCACCCTGAAGGTCACAAACAAACCCAGAATAACATCTAAACACTGCAATCTTCATTTGTCAAAGTTAGGGTCAGTGTTCATTATTCAACAGCTGGAAAGGTACCGAGCAAAAATACTATCCATGGGCAAGCTCGAAGGCGATATTGACTGGTGAACAAAAGGAAAACAATGACCCATCTCACATTTAGAAGAATATTTTTTTTCTGGTAGACGGGACAAAAGTGGAAGTTTTTGGAAGGGGTTCATCCTGTTGCATCCTTCATAAGACATGTAACTTAAAAAAAAAGAAAAAGAAGTAAGCCATACATAAAACTTTAAAAATGATGGGAGGCTTGTTTTGCTGTTTCATGACCATGATGACTTGATGTTTGCACCAGAAATTCTTTGCAACAGGACAGTCATCCAAACGCCAGGACGTTCACTTCTGAACGGCTAAAACTAAAACCAAAATGTTGGCTTTGGAGTGGCCTTGTCGAATCCCATTGAGATGATATGGCAGTAGCTTAAACAGATTGCTCATGCTTGAAAACCCTCCAACGTCCCCCAAAGTAAAACAAGTCCGCAAAGAAGAGTGAACCAAGATATTTCCACGAAGATTAAAGACCCATTGCCAGTTATTGCGGGAGTCGTTGCTGCCAATGATGTTACCACCAGTTATTAGGTTTCAGAGGCTTTTTCTAACAAGGCCAGGTCGGCCTGGGTAACTTAATTTCACTTCATAAAACAAAGGAAATTCTAAAACTGCACCTTGTTTTCCCTCATATCATTGTCTGATATTAAAAGTAGTTTAATGCTATAAAATAACAGAAGAAATCAGCAGGGGAATAAATACTTTCTCACAACACCCTATCTTAAATAACCAGTATAAAATGCTGTCACAAGATGCCACAATGTCGAAAAATGATCGTTTCTGTTTCTGTTTCTGCATTTGCATCGGTGGCAGTGAAGCCTACAAATATTCTAGAATAATCCCCATATAATTACAGCCTAAAAAACAACAACACATATATTCCCTTATCAATTAATAGCATAACTGTCCACAAAATTATTCCAAACAAATGAATATTCATCTCCATTAAATGAGGCCATTTGCAGCCTAAGGCGGTCCTCTTGATGATGGCTGGCACATCAAGCTGCATTAATTAGAAAAAGACCTGCAGAGGGCCAGAAACGCCCTCCTGAAAAGCAAGATAAGTAGTTGGAGCAAAACAGGCCATGAAATTGAATGTTACATAAATGTTAATAGTTGGGGAAAGAAGAGAGAGGATTTTTTTTCTTCCACCTGCATAGTCATCATGTCATAAGGAGAGTTTTCAATTTGCAGTATAAGCAGTTCCACAAGAAAATCCATGTCATGCCAAACAAAGAAATCCTAATTCATGCCTACGAACACAAACTGTACAAATAAGATTTTTAAAATAACACATTTAAAATAAATACTCATTACACAGCTTTAAAGCAGCCAGATACGCTGAGTAAGGCAGAAACAATTTGAATAGCCTCAAAATGCAAATTCATTTGTCTTCAGCAGCCGGGAAAATAAACGGTAAAATCAACTCACATGCTAAAGTCCTGAGAAATCTTTGAGATTATTTTCGAGCACAAGACGAAAAGGAATCTCCCACATTGAGAGCTGAGCTCTCTATTTCAGTGATGAGAGAATAAACAAAACATACAGAAGCTCTGTTTTCCACACGCCCTCCTTCATTGCTGGATCTCCCCACCCAGCCCCGGCCCCATCCCTGGCTATATGCTCATGCAAGCATAAATCATGACCAGCAAGCATCACGTCCACCAGGCCATTTCATGGATATGTTCTTCATTAATGCAACCCCGGCCCCCTTTTTGGGGTTGAGCAGTTGCCCCTGACTCCCCACCCACCCTCACAACAAAAAGACAAAGAGGTAGCAAATGGAGAGACAAAGTGGGGGGGTGGGGGGTACAAAAACCTTGGGGACCACATTTTGATGAGTTTCTAACTACGAGGCCCGGCCTTGAACAGATGGGACCGTGTCTCCAGGGTTGTGCTGCATCGCTGCGTTTGGCGCATACACTCACACAAGCACACACACACACACACACACACACCTATACATCCTTTTAACCAACTTCTGCTCACCAAATGATGCTGTGCAGATTCTACTCTAGATGTGATGGGCAGCATAAAAGAAAATGTCTTTTATAATATCATGTTTGGCATCAAACTTCAATGTAATCACAGTAATTAGAGTCTGAAGGTAAATGTCTAATTAGGTTAGCATGTGCTTACAGGCATTAGGATGGTCTTTTTCAGCACAAGTGCTGATCTAAGCTACTATAATCATTTTTCCCGAACTAGAACAGCCCTCACTCTGCCAGCGAACAATAAGATGAAAGCAAATGCTGCCCTCGTCGTAGCAAAAGTTCAACTTTTTAATTGTGCTCGTGCCTTAAGACACGCTGCCAATGACTAACCCGCAATCGGCTTGATTATTAGCCAAATGAATGAGAATGTTATTGAAAAGCTAATTAACGCTCACAGCGGTTTATCTTCAGAGCAGGTAAAGTTAGTTCAAAGTAATCTAGTATGATTTAGGCTCTCAAAGGACACGCCATCTTGTTTCTGCGTGCATTTAGCTCGAGGTTAGCAGGCTAAATGAGCAGGACTGGTGTGGGCAGCCGACCTGGTATTGATCCTCATCCCCCGCAGCAGCGTAATGGTCGTGAAAATGCCACCATCAGATTTAAGCTTACGATCCTCTCCATTTTTTCTTCTGTAGTAAATTAGACTAACTTATTCTGTGCACATGTATACAGAGACTTAATTTAGTTTGAAATGTTTATGAAACCCTATAAGCACCACTGTTTAGATTTATGAAAGAGCAAAGTTCTAAAGACGTTTTGTTTTGTTAATTCTATACAAGCATTCACAGTACTTGGAACATTTACACATTAAAAAAGTTATATATATATGTATATATATATGTATATATACATATATATATATATATATATATATATATATATATATATATATATACATATATATATATATATATATATATATATATATATATATATATATATATATATATATATATATATATATATATATATGTACTGTTTACAT